AATCTAAATTTTAGCTAATGAATGATAAATCTTTATAGTGTAAATCTTAGAGTTATGAATGATGAAGCATGAAATCTCAACTTCACAGCTTTAAATAAGAAATATATTTAATGGTATATTAGGTGAAGTAATACATTAATATAGGTCACAATTCAAGAGGTTATACAGTGAAGTCTTCCCTGTCCGTTGAGTTTCCCATTCCCTCCACAGAAGCAACCAATGACACTAGGTTTTTAAGTATTGTCAGAGATAGTCTAATTGTAGCATACAATACAAAAAACTCTTCTGCACTTGTATTTGTCCATGGAAATAAACTTGGATATCTTGGAGCTTGTCTATAACTTGAATATTCCACATCAATACATCAAAATTTTATTCATTTTTTTTTTTAGTTACATAATTCATTGTCTCATATCTGACTTAACCTGTCTATTAGATCTTTACATCACTTACATTTTTTGCTGTTACAAAGCATCTTCATGTTTGTATGTGAGCCAGAATACTGCATAAACTGTTTTTGAGCTACTGGCCTCAGATACAGAAAAAGGCATAGAGATACAGAAAAAGACTTTTCAGTTTCTGATTTTGGGGTGAAAGACAAAAAATAAAAGCCCACCTTTTTGGTATGCCCCATATGTGATTGCAATAACAAGCTTTGCTTATTTTTCATATTCAGCATCTCTTGCATAGGACTGGGGGCAGTGTGGAATTCGAGACTGATTCACCCCTGGACAGGAAGTATTACTGTTAGATGCTATAAAAATGTGAAACTTTAAAAAATAGCTATATGGATGCCTTTTTTTTTTTTTAAGATTTATTTATGTGCAAAAGAACTGGGGTACAGGCCAGAGGTGTGGGGGGCAAGAGGATCCACCAGAGACAGAGCAGGGAACAGAACAGGCAGATCGACCGAAACACACTGCTAAAGGGAGCAGCAGACGAGTCAGGAGAGGTCTGCCTTGCCATGTGGGCAACTCCCTGGCCGGGGATCGAACTCGTGCTACAGTGGCTGCAGACAGCCCCACAGGCTGTGGTCTCAACCCCCTGTGCCACCAGAGAGGCCCTATACAGATGCTTTGAAAGCATTTTTTTTTTTTAAAGAATTATTATTTTATTGTAAGATTTTTTATTTTGTATAGAACAACTGGGATATAGACCAGAGGTGCAGGGAGGTGAGGGTGAGAGGATTCACCAGAGACAAGAGTGGGGAGCAGAATAGGCAGATCTACTAAAATACACTGCTGAGGGGAGAAGTGGGTGAGACAGGAGAGTTCTGCTGTGCCATGTGGGTTAGCTCCCCGTCCTGGTATCTAACTCAGGCCATTTCAGTGACAGTGCTGAGACAACCCCTAGACCACCAGGGAGGCCCTGCATTTGTAAGTCATTTTGTGATTAGGCAAGTTACCCAAAATTTCAGAGAAAGAAGGCTAGATTTGAGGAAAAGTTTTTAAGAGGAACTGAGACTTTAGCTGGGTAGACCTTAATTAGTAATTTGTTCAAAAAAAGGGGCTCAGAACAGTGAAAGGCAGAATGAGAAGACATTTGGGAGGCATGTAGACCAGTTTGGCTGGATTTTGGGTGTTTGGGATTTCAGAGGATGGGGCCCGTTGTAGAGACTTATGAATTACAGGCTGACACATTCTGCGAGGGCAGTGGGGATCCTTGAAGCTTTCCAAGCCAGAGAATTTCAAGAAAAAGGCAGAGCTCTGATCTGAAGGTGTAGACGGAAGCAGGGAATAAAATGACTTAGAATCTGAGCATAAACAAATGAGTAAATTCTGGTATATGTACTCAATGAAACATTTTATAAACTACAATTACTTTAAAAACACTTGGTTTTTCAGTGGAAAGAAGTTTTGGACACAAATACAAAAGAGTTGCCTCACTGCCTAGATTCCAACTGCCAGGAAAAAGTCTTGGAATCTACAATCCTGTCCAAAATTAGGTCCTATGCTACTCTGGGTTTTTTCTTCAAACTAAGAATGAAAAATTAATTCCTGTTTCTATTGAAAAGTGGCTGCCCGAGTTGCTGCCTTCTGGATTCCTGTACATCCCCACTATCAGCTATTTCAAAAACCACTAAAACTGGAGCTCTTAGACTAGGGTGTCTAATTTTATTTTAAAAAACGTTTAAATTTATTTATTTTTAAAAGATTTTATTCTTTTTTTTTAATTTTTTTTTTAAGATTTATTTTATTTATACAAGAGCTGGGGTATAGGCCAGAGGCGCAGGAGGGTATGAGATTCACCAGAGACAGAGTGGGGAACAGAACAGGCAGACTGACAAAATGCACTGCTGAGGGGAGCAGTGGGCAAGACAGGAGAGGTCTGCTGCACCATGTGGGTTGCTCCGAGGCCGGTGGGGATTGAACCGGCACTGCAGAGGCTGTGGACAGTTTCACAGTGCTGTGCTCAACCGCCTGTGCCACCAGGGAGGCCTGATTTTATTTATTCTTGTGTAGAAGAACTGGGATGCAGGCCAGAGGTGCAAGGGGTGAGAGCAGAACAAGCAGAGCTACTGAGATAGCAGCGGGTGAGATAGGAGAGGTCTACTGCACCATGTGCATTAGCTCCCTGGCCGGGGATCCAAACTCAGGCCATCATGGTGGGCCTTTGCAGTGGTAGTACTGAAAGTTAACCCCTAGGCTACCAGGAAGCCCCCAAAATTTTAAATTTTATTTGAAAATTTTAAATTTTATTTGAAAGTTCTTAGGGATAGGACCCCTAAGTTTCATTAGATTCTCAAATGAACTCAATTTCTTTAAGGCCTTTGTAGACTTTTAGGCATTTTTCTTTCTGAAAGCTTCACTTTGTACCATGAAACATTGAAATCCACATATTTCATAATTACATAATGTTAATTGATACAAAGTTATTTTATACTCATCTAATTATTAATTTTGGCACTCTGATTCCTTTTAATATTCTAAAGCCAATAATATGTTTTTAAGATCTCAAATATTTTCATAGGTCCTTGGAAAGCTCAAATATCCCAGGTGCTGTGCCCATAGAGTCCAGTAGGAAAAATGACTCTCAGGGTACCTAACCCCCACAACGCTAAGAAACCTTGCCCTGAAATGTAACTTCCAGAACAATCTGGCTCCAATAATTTCCTTCTGCCATGGGTTGCTTTACTTCCTGCTCCTTAGTCTTTTCCACAGCCTCGAGAATTTCTCCTTTACCCAAACTAAGGATGAGTTTACAGAATTCTCTTTTCTTTTTTGGATTATCCAGTTTTTCTTCTGACCCTGGATTCCCAGGTTCTATCCCTTAAAGGCCAAGGAGCACTCCAGGGGGGTACATCTCAAGCCGTGGTGGAGGAGAGGGTAGGATTAAAGGCTGCACAAAGCACTAGAAACCAACCATAAGCCCTTCTCTCCCTGCCTTCCTTTAAACCAATACTGGATATGCAAAAACCATGAAGCTTGAGAATGACTGAAATTTGGGGTCACACACTCTTGGTGAGTAATTCACAAAACGCTATCTGATCATCGCATGGGACTAACAGTTAAGGATATAGCCAAGAATGATCTGATACTAGTATTTCCAAAAGTTACGAGATGAAATAAAGGATACTCATTTAGTAAACACATGGTTCCCCTCACTTAAAAATGAAATCATGAAATTACAGAAAATGAAAAAATGTTTTAAAAATTGCAGTAACATTTTAAAAATTTAAAAATTGCAGTAACATTTTATATTCACAACAAAGATACCAGCAGAGACAAAGGCAAGAACAAAGATTTCCATTGTTCTCCATCTCCACAATGGATGTGATCTCTTTGTTCTCTGAATAAACTACCTTTTCTTGCCTCTCTTATGGCACTTAATACTGTTTACCTTGTTTTAGGATTGTTTTTATGCAGGTTTAATCTCTAAACTGTAAGAGTCTTGGTATCCCTCACAATATTTATCTTCTACATTCTGTATACCTCCTAGGTACACATCTATTTGCTAAAGGCAGAAATGAATAGAAGCCAAGATACTATAATCTTAATCTAAAATGCAACAGATTTCACCATGAAGAGGTCACTGGCTTAATAGAATACATTTTGCACTTATACTGGTGTCTATAGAAATGTAATTCTAGGAATAGAAAGTGGAAATTAAATCAATGTGTCACACATGCTTTGTTTCTGAAATCATTCTGGGATTAGGTTGGTCTTATTCAGATGTCAGTGTTTTATGTTCATAGCAGTCTTACACATACTTGCACATACCCAGAATTTTCCCAAACTATGATAACATGGAAGATTTTTAATCTTCCATTTTTAATCTTTTAATTTTTAATGGGAGCCTATCCCCATTGAAAAGCAGAGTCTGTATCCCCTCCCTTTGAATGTAGCTGTCCTATGACTGCTTTGACCAAAAGTGTGACACTGCTTGTTGGGCAAAGCCTTTAAGAGGACTAGAATCTCCAACTCTTAGAGCCCTAAATTGTCATAGAGTGAGTCATATAATAAGTGCCATATACCTAAGGCGCTATGTTAAAATCTCTAGAGAAAGAAGAGAGGAGGGAAAGAAAGGAGAGTAGGGAAGGGAAGGGAGTGGAGAGAGAAGAGACGTGCCTAGCCAGCCCCAAACTATTCCAGACCTCAGCCACTTGGATCATCCTAGTGCAGCTGAGGTCCCAAGTATTATGAGGCAGATCCCTCCCTTTTGTGCTTTGTTTGAATTCCTGACTCTGAACTGTGAGCTATAATAATCATAATAAGTTGTTTTTAGCAATTTGATTTTGGGACAGTTTATTAAGCATTAATAGTTAAGTGGAGCAGTGATTTAAACTCATAAAAGCCCTTACTACTTTAATTCATAAAGGTATATATAATTACATGAATTTAAAAAATTAAGTACAAGTTTCATTTTAAGAATGTGTTTAAAAGATTACTTGTGCAAAGTTAAAGTAAACTTATGCAAACATTTCAACATTTTTGAAATTAGTTAATCATACATATCACGTAAGATTTAGAACTTTTAAAAAGTTACTAAGATTAAAAAGAATTGCTGAAATTGCCTTAATAGTGGTGATTCTCTATAATGTAAATAGCAAGAATGACACAGATAATTTAAGTAACTGAACAAAATAATGAAGATCCTAAGCTTTATAGGTATGCAAAAATGTGTTTCCAATAAATTGAACAAAAAACAAAAGAATAGGATCAGTTGTATATCTTGGAATCAAATAACCTAAAAGCATCCTATACTGATGTCCATATAAATGTAGTGCTAGGAATAGAAAGTGGAAATTATATCAGTGTGGGACCCCACACTTAAAAAGAAATTTGTTTAATTTTAAAATGATTTATACTGATTTGTGGAAGAGTTCTAATTCACTGGACTGTTTCCAGGAGACACAGATTCTTGGTTTCCGAGTTCCTGAGCTGTTCGCTCATGGTCCCAGAATAGCTGACTTCCCACAGTGTGTACTTCAATATCTCAGCAATGGAGGCCCGAAAGTGCTTTTGGAACTTCTTACTGATCAGGACGTAAAGAATGGGGTTCAAGCAACTATTGAGGAATGCCAAGGCCGTGGAGAGAGGTATTCCGGCCTTCAGTACCTGGTGAAAATTGCTAGTGTGGTTAATTGTAAGCTCCCAAATGTTAAATAGGTGATAAGGAGTCCAGCAAATCAAAAAGGCCATGACCACAGCCAAGATTGCCCAGAAGTGTTTACTGGAGATCAAGATGCTTCGCTTCTTCACCTTGAAGATGAGACACAAGTAGCAAATGCTCATTGTCAGCAGAGGGAAGAGGTACCCAACAGTAACTTTCACCCAGGTCAGAACATGGTGCCTCATCAAAATGAGGTCAGGATCATGCTCATGGAAGTTATTATAGCAAACTGTGTGGTTATTTAACTCCCAGGTGTCCCGAAAGTATAAGGCAGGGCCACCCATTAGAGAAGCCAAAAGCCAAACAAACAAAATAACTAGCAAAGAGTTCTTTAAGGTTCGGTGTTGATGGGATAACACAGGATGGATCAAGTGGATGTAGCGATCCAGACTGATCACTGTCAGGAAGAAAACACTGGCAAACATGTTCAACTGAGCAATGAAGGAATTGGCCTTGCACAACCAACTGCCAAAGGGCCAGTGGAAATTCATTGCCACATAGGAGATGTATAGGGGCAGGAAGAGAAGAAAAATAAAATCTGCAACAGCCAGATTGAGAAACCAGAGAGTGCTGACAGTCTTCTTCCACTTGAATCCTGTGAACCAAATGACAGTAGCATTTCCTGGAATGCCCAGAACAAAGGCTAAGCAGCATAACACCAGGGATATCCAGTGGACAACTCCCAGGTGAACCTTCTCCTCTGTGTCAAACTCTTGGGAGTAATATTCTAGGCCATAGGAGTAGTTCTCAAATTCTTCAAATAATGCTTCCTCGAGGTCTTCCATGACTTTGCTAAGTGGAAAATGAAGAAATCTATAGAAGCAAAAATTTTTTTTAAAAGAACGAAAACAATTAAAAAGAAATGTTCAGTGAATGGTAAGGGATATAAAGATAAAAATACTTCTTCTTAAGAAGTGGAAATAGTGTATTTCTTGCCAAGACTTATGATTAAACTCTAGATGTTCAAGTCTTGGTAGACTTCAGTTTCACTCTGATTATTCTCAAAGCTCTGAGAGATCATTTTTGTGAAGTATTCACCAAGTGTTAAAATAATCCTACAGGTGCAGATCTTTCTTCACCATAGTTACAGAGTTGACTAAAGATAATTAACATTCAATAAGCATTTACTAGGATCTTACTATGCTTTATTATCTTATGGAAGATGTCAAAGAAGACATTAATACTTACCTCGTGATGACTCCAATAACCTGCATTTGTGCCCTAAGTTTTTATTTTTATTTTTTTTTTTAAATAGAGGCATGTTTTATTTATTTATTTGTTTGTTTGTTTGTTTTTGTTCTGTTTATACATGCACTGGGTACAGTCAGAAGCGCGGGAGGGTGAGAGAATTCACCAGAGCCAGAGCAGGGAGCAGAGCAGGCAGAAGGACCGACGTACACTGCTGAGGGGAGCAGCGGGCGGCAGGAGAGGTCTGCGCACCATGTGGGGCCCTCCTCCGGTGGCCGGGGAGCAGCCGGGAATTGAACCGGCGCCGCAGAGGCCTCAGTCAGCATCGCAACCCAGCGCTCAACCACTGCACCACTGGGGAGGCCCGCCCTAAGTTTTTAAACTCTAGACAAACACTTCCAACTGACTCCTTAACCCATCCACCTGGATGTCACAGGCAGGCACTGGAGATTTTACTAATGATTTTGTACCCACAGACACTTGGATCTTGTGTTTATGAATGCCAACATGTTCACAGAATCATCAATATGGATAACTATTCACCCTTTCAAAAAAATGCCTTTTGGAGTAAACTTGACTATGACTTTAATTTTTATATTAATTTCCTATGGTGTGCAATTTAAGGTTTTTTTAACTTTAAAAAAATTATTTATTTATGCATACAAGAACTGAGAGTACAGGCCAAAGGTGCAGGGAGTGAGAGGATTCGCCAGAGACAGAGTGTGGAACAGAACAGGCAGATCTACTAAAATACACTGCTGAGGGGAGCAGCGGGTGAGACACAGAGATGTCTTCTGTGCCATGTGGGTCAGCTCCCTAGCTGGTGGGGGATTGAACTCATGCTGCAGAGGCTGCGAATAGCTTCACAGTGCTGTACTTAACCCCTTGTGCCACCAGGGAGGCCCTTTTTTTAACATTTGATTTTACTTAAATTTCTTTGTTTTGAGTTTACGTGAATTCTTTTCTATAGTCATTTTTTTTTTTAAAGATTTATTTATTTATTTATTTATACAAGCACTGGGTACAGTCAGAAGCACGGGAGGGTGAGAGAATTCATCAGAGCCAGAGCAGGGAGCAGAGCAGGCAGAAGGACCGAAGTACAGTGCTGAGGGGAGCAGCGGGCGGCAGGAGGTCCCATATGGGACCCTCCTCCTGTGGCCGGGGAGCAGCCGAGGATCGAACCGGCGCTGCAGAGGCTGCGGGCAGCTTCACAACCCAGCGCTCAACCGCTGCGCCACCAGGGAGGCCCTCTATAGTCATTTACAAAAAGGTCTGATTTGTGAATCAGTTTTGCTTATTTGTCCATATCAAGTTTTACATACTACAGTTTTGACCAAAATAAGTTTTCTCCTGTGGCCTTTTATTTATTTTCCTCTTCTCTTATTACGGTCAGTTTTTCTTGGATAAAGTAGAATTAAATGCCAATTTGTTAATGAAAACAAGAGTTTACTGGATACAATTTTAGCTTCGTTCATTTCGTTTTGTGTTATTTCTATGTGTAGTATTCTAAAACAAGGAGAAAAAAGGTTAATAGTTTTATTCATTTCATGGAGCTACAGTCACTAATGGCGATTTGAGGTTATTGTAGGGTTAGAAAGAACAGTTCAAAACACTGTGTGTTGCCCACAGGCATCTTAAACTCAATTTGACTAACAATGAATTCCTCATCCTACCTAAAATCATTTGATGAATATAAAAACAAAACAATCCATCAACATAACCTCCCAACCCAGACCCAAGCAACTTTTCTTTATTCAATTTCAGCTCAAATGTTACCTTTTTGGGAAAATATTTCCTGATATTGCCTTCCCTCAAATAATTACAAAATTAATAATAATAATAGCTATTGTTATTATAAATAATAGTGTTATTTGGAATTTACTAGGTGCCAGGCTGTATAACCTAATTTGATCATCACAAGATTCTTATGAAGTAGGTAGGTACTATTATCATTCCTATTTACAAGAAGTAAAACTGAAGCCTGGAGAAGCTTAGCAACTTTTCTAGGATCACACAACCTGTCTTTGGAGAGTCAGAGTCTAAGCTCAGATCTCTTGACCTAGAGCCTGAGCTCTTACCCACTTATGATATTGCCCTCTCCCATCATGCTTCCCTCATTGTGCTTAGCAAATTTGAGAACAGTGACATTATCTCTGTACCCCACTGTGCCTGTACAGGTTGTAACATCACATGTGCTTAAAAAGTGCTTAATTGATTGGCTCTGCCACAAATCCTGTTCAGAGCCAAATACAATTTTATTTATTTATTTTTTTTTTTTAGAGGCATGCTTTATTTATTTATTTATTTTATTTGTTCGTTTGTTTTGTTTATACATGCACTGGGTACAGTCAGAAGATCGGGAGGGTGAGAGAATTCACCAGAGCCAGAGCGGGGAGCAGAGCAGGCAGAAGGACTGAAGTACACTGCTGAGGGGAGCAGCGGGCGGCAGGAGAGGTCTGCACGCCATGTGGGACCCTCCTCCGGTGGCCGGGGAGCAGCCGGGGATCGAACCAGTGCTGCAGAGGCTGAGTGCAGCTTCGTAACCCAGCGCTCAACCGCTGCGCCACCGGGGAGGCCCGCCAAATACAATTTTAAAGCCTCAGATGACGTTTTGTGGTTTACCCTTATGTCAACGTCATTGCTGGACTCTTTGACCCTGACCCACAGTTCTAGCCTCAGGAGCTCGGCTTGTTTCTTGACACCAAGTCCTTTCCTTTGAGTGTCCTAATCCAGTGAGGAATAATTGGCTTCTTTCTTGCTGATTCATTTTTTAGGTCTGGGATCTTACTCTGTCTTCTCTGCTCTTACTGGTAGCTGATCCTCCTCGGTACCAGATCCTTTCCAGGCTTCCCTGCCTTGGTTTTTTGCATATATACTGGGATACTCTTAGCTTCCTGGTGTCTATGATTGGTTTTCTCAGACTATTGGCAATTCCGAAACCAAATGACTCAGGTGGTGTTCTAAATCACCTTACATCACTCTAAGCAGCGAGTAGAAAGAAGTACATTCCCCAAACATAGAAAACCAGTGGAAGACCACTTTTTGCACATAACCACTATCCTCATCAAAAGTTAGGAGTCTCCACTTTGTTATGTCATTAATGTCCTTTCTGAGACAGAAAAATCACAGGGTCTGCTGAAGGACACCAGCCACCCAAATTCCCAATTCTCTATTCCCAATTCCTGCCTGCTGCTCCCCTCAGCAGTGTATTTCAGTCAATCTGCCTGTTCTGCTCCCCACTCTGTCTTTGGTCATTAAGATGGGTACTAAACCAATATGACTGGTGCCCTTATAAAAAGGGAAATTTGGGGGGTTCTTGTGGGACAGTGGTAGGTACCTTGATGAAGAGTGTTGTATCTGAACAGAATCCTTCCAACCAGAAAGCGCTCTATCCCAGAGAGGTTCCTGATCTTCTAGAATGCAAATGAGTAGATGAGACAGATGCAAGGATCAGTTCAGGCTTGGAGAAAGATCTTCAGTTGAATGAATCCTTAATAGGAAACATAAGCTAGGATTTCACTGTGAGAGCAGATATTTTTGTGTGGTGATGGTAATAAGGGGGAGAAAAAAAGAGAAGTAAGGGAGAATTTAACAGCTGACACAGAGTCTTTGGGCAGACAGTTAACCCTCAAGGGCATACTGATAGCTGATTAATTACTGTGTATTTTGCCTTACAGTTTATGAGTACCTCCAATTCTAATTAAGTTTCCAAATCTCACTTTGACTTGTGCAAATGTCTAGATAGTAGATATTAATTGTATTAGTTATCTATGGCTGCCCTAACTAAACACCCTAAACTAGGGGGCTTAAAATAACAGAAGCCATCTAGAAGTCTGTAGGCTAGAAGTCTCAAATCAAGGAGTGGGTAAGGTGGTTACCCTCTGCGAGCTGAGAGGGAGAATTTGTTCCATACCTCCTGTCTAGATGCTGATGCTTTGCAGACACATGTTGGTTTGTACGTGCAACACCTCAATATCTGCCTTCATCGTCACATGCTATTTTCCCTGTGTCCAAATTTCCCCTTTTATAAGGGCATCAGTCATATTGGTGTAGTACCCACCATAATGACCAGAGACAGAGTGGAGAGCAGAACAGGCAGATTGACTGAAATACACTGCTGAGGGGAGCAGCGGGCGAGTCAGGAGAGGTCTGCTGCCCAATGTGGGTAGCTGCCTGGCTGGGGATTGAACTCGTGCTGCAGTGGCTGCAGAGAGCTTCAGAGGTTGCTTCTTAACCCCTTGTGCCACCTTGGGCCTTGGGAGGCCCAAGACAGGATCTTTCTTTAAGGAGAACTGAAAGAGGAAGCTGGCTTTGTGAGGGGAATCTCTCTTACCCCAGCATGGGTCAGGGAGTCATTTAAGAACAATCCTTTAAATCATGAGACTGAGTATGAGGGTGGTTTTGCAGTTGATTATGATGGTCTGGTAAGACTCTTGTTTTCAAAGAAAATGTGGAACAGTTCTGTGCTTTACTAATACTGGGTACTGACACTGTTTTGGCAGAGTTAAATATCTTCTGCCCTTTACTTCATAAGTTAAATGTCCCAGGGGCAGGTAGCTTTAATCCCAGATAGGGGAGACACTGGGATTTGTGTGAATTGAAGGGTAGTGGACCTGCTTTCAGTGGATAGCAGCTGCTTGGTTCTAATCAATTGTTTACATGTGGAAAGCGAAGGCTTAGTTTTGCCAGAATTTTTGAAGGCTGAGTGGAGAACACTGACTTCTGTTACCACATTTCCCTGATTCTGCTCCTTTGCTCTCTACCCAGCTCCACACTTCTTTGCTCCCGCCTTGGGTAGACGCTCACCTACCACCCCTTGAGGCATTGCCTTGACACCAGTTCCCATGCTTTATTTCCCATTTTCCTTTTCTTTTTAAAGATTTATTTATTTATTTATACAAGCACTAGGTACAGTCAGAAGCGCAGGAGTGTGAGAGAATTCACCAGAGCCAGAGTGGGGAGCAGAACAGGCAGACTGATGAAGTACACTGCTGAGGGGAGCAGCGGGTGGCAGGAGAGGTCTGTGCGCCATGTGGGACCCTGGCCCGGTGGCCGGGGATCGAACCGGCGCTGCAGAAGCTGCGGGCAGCTTCACAACCCAGAGCTCAACCGCTGCGCCACCGGGGAGGCCCTCCCATGCTTTATTTCCACCAAAATCGATTCCATTGATTCTCAACCCAGGACAGGTTAGTCTCCAGTGATATTTGGCAATGTCTAAAGACACTGTTGGTTGTCACAAAACGTGCTGGGGGAGGGAGAGTAAGTTTCACGAACACCTAGTGGGTTGAAACCAAGGATGCACCTGGTTTCACAGACAGCCCCCACGACAAAGAATTATCCTGCCCCAGAAGTCAGTGGTGCCGAAGTTAAGATACCTTGCTCTACAGATTCTGAGCTCAGTGTGCACTCCTTACTTGTGTCTCCTGCTGCCTTTACTTGTGTTTCCTGCTGCCTTTTTTCCCTGGGGTGTTTTCATCTTGGTAGTCCTGGCTTGGACTGGTCTGGTCCATTCCAGTACCAACCAACTGTGTTTTATAGTTTGTAAACTATTGGCATATATGTTTGATTTTGATGAAAAAGTTTTTAAAATATTTGATGTAGATGGTATTATTTAAATATTAAAAAATTTCACAGTTTTTAGCTTCTGTGGATAATTTTTACTATCTGTTAATAACAGGCCTGAATTTCCTTTAGCAGCATTATAAGAGAGTTTGGAGAGCACAATGCCAGGAGGAGGCTTTTAGACTTGACAAAAAGAAGGAAATAGTTACTGTACTTGTCTTAAACCATATGTGCTGCTGAAAGGCAAATAAATACTTCTGACTGAAATAAATCAAATTAAGAGCTACATGATCATAACATTTTTTTCAGTAGCTGTTTAAGTAAGTGCCAGACTGCATTGTGGACATGGATATATGGCAGGTCCACCCAAGTTTATTAGAATGTGAAAAATCTTGGTGTTGGCCAAGTTCAGAAAAACATCCATGAAGCCTGTGGTTTGGTTTCCAAAGAATGTGAAGAAGTATATTTGTTGCGGGAAGTCAGCAGCCATAAGGACCCAAATTGTCACATTCCTGGATTCCATTTACCCAGATGCTCAAGTGGCAAATATCTGTTTCTGGATCATGGAACTATTTATTGAATGAAACAATTTGATTTCTGATATGCTTAGATTTAATAGATGGTGAAGTCAAAGCTCTTTTCTGAATACACAGGTTTCACTGCAAGAGAACTGGCAGAAAGTATAGTGATAGTCTATAAAACCCAGAGATTTGGGTAGAATACCTGGTAGAAATGTGTCTCATTAATCTTTTAAATGTGGCTTTAAATGAAGGTTGGCTGCAGAGGAAAACATTGCGTTTATCTACCTTGATAAAACATAGTAATGCCTTTTGGCAGAACATTTGGTGAATGCAGAGGTTTATTTTAGTTCCATGTTGATTTAGATGAATTTTCATGAACAATTGCAAAAGCAGATACATTACAGAATCTTAAGAAACTTAGATTCCAGTCTCCTTTGAACAGAAGGAAGGATTTGATGTTGCTGATCTGTGAGGATTGACTGTGGAATTCCCCATACACCCTGACAACAAAGAAAAGAGCCGAGTATGTCTCCTGTGAAGATTGTAGGAGCCCTTCAAGGAGTATGCGTTTTTGCTTCTGGTTAGATGACAGGGATGAGCTGAAAGAATCAACAGGCACAAGAGAGAAAATCTCTGGTGAAAACCACAGATCTATGACCCAGCAAACATATGTGGTCAGCAAGCTTTATTTTTCAAGGGCTGTCTTTTTATGGGAAGAGATTTTTTTGAAAAGCATGTGTGCATGTGTGTGTGTGAGGGTTATTTGGGGGCATTGCTCAAGTGTTTTCCACTGGCTATAAAATATAAACTTTATACCACACCCCAGATTGTACTCAAGATGTTTGGCACCAGTGAAGTATTTTGCTGCCCTTTGGATGAACAATCTCTGCTTGGAAGGTGTTGCAGCACAGCGGCGTTTTATAAAGATACCCTATTTATTCACCCAAGGGAAATAAAGGGGGTTTAAATAGAACTGAAGGGTGGGGTATGATAGTGACAGCTCCTGATGCTGGTTGGAGGTGCTAGAATAGTGACTGTCAGTGTCCTTCCCCCATCCCATTTGATGGCCTTTAATAAAGAAGCATCTTGCCTAAACTCCCATGTTGTTTATTGCTTAATGCTGGTCATCAAAAGAAATCACAGTATTTCCTGGTATATTAGGAAGAAGGGAAGTATTTTGGTTTGGCCAGTAAGAGGGAGTGTCCTGGTCACGAAGGCTTTGAATGTTGTGCTTACACATTTGAATTTTATTCCATTGCCAGTTAGGCGCGATGTTTGCTGCAGGGAGTGACATCACTGAATCTTTGTTTTTGTAAAAATCATCTGGTAGCAGTTTGGGATGGAAGCAAGGCGTTCAGTTATGAGAATATCGCCACAGCTTAAGTCAAAGATGGAAGGATGGAAGGACCTTGGACAGTGAGCGTGAGAATGGAGAGGAAGGAGACGTACTTAAGAAACATTCATTCAGGAAATCAATGGAATCTTTCAGGAAGCTTAGTTAAACTGAGTATAAGCTTCATAATGACTTTTTTATTGAGCTGGCATTGAAAGCCAACTTTGGATGGAAAAGCGAACTAATTTTAGGTGTACAAATGTTTCATTCAGTTTAAAGGCGGAAGGGTTAGAAAACAAAGTTTTTCTGGGTCTCCCTGGTGGCACAAGCACTATGAAGCTATCCAGAGCCACTGCAGCACGAATTCAATCCCCGACCAGGGAGGTGACTCACATGGTGCAGCAGACCTCTGCTGCTGTTCCCCCAGCAGTGTATTTCAGTAGATCTGCCTCTGTTCTGCTCCCCACTCTGTCTCTGGTGAATCCTCTCAACCCCGCATCTCTGGCCTGCACCCCAGTTCTTGTATGCATAAATAAAAATAAATCTTTAAAAAAAAAAAGAAAAGAAAGCTTTTCCCCTTATTAAAAAAAATAAAATTAAAATTGGAAATGAGGGCCTCCCCGGTGGCGCAGCGGTTGAGCGCTGGGTTGCGAAGCTGCCCGCGGCCTCTGCGGCGCCGGTTCGATCCCCGGCTGCTCCCCAGCCACCAGAGGAGGGTCCCACATGGCGCGCAGACCTCTCCTGCCGCCCGCTGCTCCCCTCAGCAGTGTACTTCGGTCCTTCTGCCTGCTCTGCTTCCCGATCTGGCTCTGGTGAATTCTCTCACCCTCCCGTGCTTCTGACTGTACCCAGTGCATGTATAAACAAACAAACAAACAAATAAAGAAAGAAAGAAATAAAACATGCCTCTATTAAAAAAAAAAAAAAAAAAAAAAAATAAAATTGGAAATGAAATAGATATCTCTTTTTACTTTTCTGAGATCATTGTCTTTAAATAAAAGGTACTTGCAGGCTGGTCTGCAGGTCTAAGTCCCACACATCACTTGGGCAGTTTAAGAGATCACAGTACATATTTGAAAAGTCAGCAACTACTTACATACCAGTTGTTTTAGTGCTCCACCCACAAGTCAGTGTCCTGACTTGCGTAGTCTGTATGGCTCTGTTTATTACTGGGGAGAAAAAAATTAGAGTGAATGATTAAACTTGGGTCAGGAAGAAACTTTTAGGCTTAATTCTTCTGTATGACTTTAAGATAATTAATGTAATTTAAATGTTAGGCAAAGATAATTTTTTATAAATCAGGCAATAATGTGGTCACTTGGCTCTGAAGTCAGACTACCTGCCTGCAAATCTCAATCCTATCTCTCCCTGACTGAAATCTTGACAAATCACTACCTCCAGACCTCAGTTTGCTCTCCTGTAAAATGGGAATAGTAATAGTGCAAACTCAGGGTTGCTGTGATGATCACATGAGGAAACTCTAAAAAAGAGACTAGCTCAGTACCTGGTACATGATGCATGCTCAATAACTAGTTATTGATTACTACTAGTTTAATACTTAAAGTTATATATATGTAAGGTAAGGTAAGAAGGAAGCAAGATTTCTTTGTATTCCTTCAAGAGAAGGGTGAGATTTTAGTAGAGATTTAATAACAGCCTTTGTTTTGTGGGCTTCATATTTTTAAAAATATTGAATCTGTATGAATTATGTTGCCTTCCAAGGCATTTGACCTGTAGTATGCCTCCAAAATGCCAGGTTTATCCCCATGTTGGGGCAGGAATGATGAGAAAATAAAATTCAACAAAGCATTATGTTTCTTTTCTGCCTTTTTTAAAGAAAAAAAGCTACTTATTCATATGTGATTATAGGATAAAATTCTTTACATCACTTCTTTCCAAATTTTATGTAGAATCTGACAAATAATCACCCCCACTGACAATGTAATGTTTCAAAACCCTGATTATAGCAGAAAGAATTGCAAAATCAAGATTTCCTTGAAAAGAGGTACTAAATTATGCAAGTAATTTTTTAGCAGGGAGAACAAGGGTAATGAATTTGGAGACCTTCATGGCTCAGACCCCTGTCGGGCTTTTTTTTTTTTTTTAAGATTTATTTATCTATGCATACAAGAACTGGGGTACAGCCAGAGGTGCGGGGGGTGAGAGAATTCACCAGACACAGAGCGGGGAACAGAACAGGCAGACTGACTGAAATACACTGCAAAGGGGAGCAGCGGGTGAGTCAGGAGAGGTCTGCTGTGCTATGTGGGTAGCTCCCTAGCCAGGGATTGAACTCATGCTGCAGTGACTGCAGATAGCTTCAGAGTGCTGTAACTTAATCCCTTGTGCCACCAGGGAGGACCGTGTAGGGCTTTTGAGTAGATTTGAGATCTGAATTGTCCATTCTTTTGTTTTTTTTCTTTAAAGATTTATTTATTTATTTATACAAGCGCGGAAGGGTGAGAGAATTCACCAGAGTCAGAGCGGAGAGCAGAGCAGGCAGACTGATGAAGTACACTGCTGAGGGGAGCAGCGGGTGGCAGGAGAGGTCTGCGTGCCATGTGGGACCCTCACCCAGTGGCCAGGGATTGTACCGGTGCTGCAGAGGCTGCGGGCAGCTTCACAGCCCAGCGCTCAACTGCTGCGCCACCAGGGAGGCCCTGAATTGTCCATTTTTGTTGTGGATATTTTCGTCCATAGAATTGGTCAAAACTAAGACATTAATCCTTTTTAATATATTCTGGACAAAGTTATGTCCACTGAAAAGCTGATTTTGGAAGCAATAGCCATGACAGGGTCCCTAACAGATTATAAAACTTCTCATAAATGGATACCACCCATAGTTTAAAAAATTGTAAAAGGTAGAACTTGAGTCTAAGTTTAGAATCTTTAACTGTGACCTAAAATCTCAGGACAAATACATGCTTCAGAAAAGTTAGGGGTTCACGGTAGGAATTTGTGCAACTACCTGTTTTCTATGTCATCATTACTTGCCACTAAAGGGAATTTGGGTGTCAGTTACTTATTGTCAATGACATTCACAGAAATTTAAGGAGAATACCCAGTTTAGGGTAGAAATTGACTTGACAGCCATTATATTTTTATTCTAATTTATATTAGAATTTCCTTTGTTAAAGAAAGAGGAAGCTGTTTTCCTAAAATAGACAAGTAATCAAGGAACTTACAGAATATATTGAAGTTGCAACCATTTCACAAAACAATACTGTTCATCATTCAGAGAGGTAGGAGGTAACTTGGTCAAGAGGGTGGAAGGGAAACTTGTTTTGGTTGCAATGGTACTGTTTTTTCAACACAGCAAAAAATTAGGGGGGCAGGGATGGGCAACAATTCTAGAACTTCATAATGTAAAGATTATGCCTGAAACTATTTTTGCTTTTCTTTTCCTCTAGGTGATAAAAGAGAGTTTGGGAGGTAAAATAAAGCACAAGTTGAAAGATTTGCCCATTGATGGTAACCAAACAATTGGGTTCCAAAGTCATTATTATGATGATTTAGAGGATATTCATCATTAACACTTTACTTATTTTACGGTAATGAAAACAAACAAAGCAAGCAATCTTAGCACTACACTTTGTCATGATCAATTTTAGGGGTTAGCAGGACCAATTGTCACATCTCAAGGTTTCCTTGTGTGGTCTTCAGTCTTAGTTTCTTATCTAAATACACTATAATGGAGAGTTTACGAGTCACTTCTGAACATCTGGAAATCTCATTCTGAATGCCTACAGATTCCTTTACAATGACCCCAGCCATGGAAATATCTTCTTGATGGTTCTCTCTCTTAGTCCACCCAAAAGTTCAGATTGCGTGACATAGGATGAAGATTACAGTGAGCCAGGTGAGACTGGGTCAAGCAACTATAGGATCAAATCCTGTCCTCACTTAAAATTTTGATATTTTTGTTCTTCATGGATGTTTTTAGGCATTAATTTTGATTCCTGAGATTTTTGGCACTGTTAAAATCTTACCTCGATTTCCTTACCCTAGTTTAAATGCTTCCATAACACTAGACCCCATTTAGTGTCCACAGGTTCTAGGTAGTCTGGTGTGTTAAGAGCCTTGGAATTCAAGAAAGATGGTTGTTAAGTTTTACTTCTGCAAGGCATGAGCTGTGTGACTTTGCATGCATCACCTTCCCACTTGGGACCCCAGGTACCTCATCTAGAAAATACAGGTGACATCTAATTTCCAACTTTATAAGAAACTGAAAGTGGTCAAACAACATCTTTTAGCTGTTTTATTATTCTACATGCCTCCAGGTAGCACCAAATCCAGTGCTTTGCACAAAGTGGGCATTCAAAAAATGTTTTTGATTACATATTTTTTTTATACATTGGAATAAAAGTATCGCCCAGGTTCCAAAACAAAAAGTCTACCCAAATTAAAACGTAATCTCTGCAAACAAAGAATATTTTTCCCTCCCTTATTCCTCCCAGAGAAAAGAATAAATTTGAAAGGTTTAGTCTTTTTGATTCATTTAAATGTAGCAAAGTCTTACTTTTTTCCCTCCAGGAAATATTTTATTAAAATATTTCAGGTTTTGAGTGAACCAGACTTGTGTAATCATCCAGCCCTTGGGGATTTCTTCCCATCTTTTAGATACTTGTACCACCCTAATGAGTCACATTTTATAAAGTGTAACATCTGTGAGAAAAGGTTATAAACATGCAGCCTTGCCCCAAACAGCTGTAGACCTGCAGAAGAAACAGAACCTCCACTTTCTAACTAGTTCTTCATATTTAAGTTTGCATAACTAGAGTGTTTAAAAGCACTTATGCATATAGACCATACTACTTCTTAAAACTTTCTATTCCTCTTTACTTGACAAAGGAAGGAAAAAAAAAATACTGGTTCAATGGTAAGACTTCTGACTATATTTGAAAAGCTTTTTGCTTTATTCTTAACTTGTTTTATGTTATGGTAACTTTCCATTTAGTTACTGTCTGATCAATGGTAGGAATGGAGGGAAGGAACCACTTATGAGACCTATTCACTGTTATTTTGCAAATTGTTTCTTGATTCTGTAACTATTCAGTAATTTCAGTTTACTTAATATCTCTTTTTTATATTTGATATCACTCACCTTGTCCCACAAGCAGAGGTCTTGTACTTGAGGAAAATAAAAGTGATTTTCTAAAGGTCATTAATTATACTGGTTCATAATAAAGACTGGACATATTGTCTCAATACCTCAGATAACTAAAAAACCAAGTGTTTTCCTGCTACTCAAGTTTAAGAAAGTAGTCAGAAAATATCTTTGCATCTATACAATATACCTTCAGTGAAACAAAATGCAAAATATTTCTTGACAAGGAACTTGGAAGGGCTCGGTAAAATAGCCACTTGATCCATTAACATTTCTTTTTTAAAATTCTACATTTAGAATAGGCTCCTGTCTATCATCACAGCTTTTCTCTAACAAGGCATTCAGACAAATCATTCCAAGCCTTAAGTGTGATTTCCTGAGACTGTGACCAGTTATTAAAAGCAAAATGTTTAGCAATTCAAAGCTCATCTTTAAAACCACCTAAAAATAGTTCTATTAATGGTAACATAAATACCTCAAGTGACATTCACTGCAATTTTGCTTGTAGTCAAGGTAGAAACCTGAGGGTTCTGAAAAGAGAAATTCAAAATGAACCATTCTAGTACTTCTGAAAAAACAAATCCTACCATACTGACCTGGAAAATGGGACTGAAAGGCAGTGTCTAAAATGTTCTTTAGAATAGCCTGTGTTCCTTCACTTCAGAATTCACTTGTTAAGCAACATCTGCATTGAATGTTTGCCAGTTACAGTGCAAAGCACATCATCTTCTCCAACAGGTTTTCTTGCTGATAATATGTGTCAGCAGCAATTGCGGACCCTGAGTTACTTCCCTAAGATGAATTCAGTAAGTCTACATTAAAGAGATATGTAATATTGACTAATGGTTTAGTCAATGCCTTTTCACCACCCATGAGAACAGACTTAATGTGAAGCACCTGGGCAGGGTCCCCTTCAAGCACCCTCACTTGCCTTCCCATGGGATGTGCACCACCATTCACCAAAGACACTGAGAACAGTACTCTGTGGCCACCTGTTCTGATACTTGAAACTGCTCAATGTCTGCCCAACTGTAAGCTTTCTTCTTGACCAAGAACTCAACATGAGTCAAGAATGGAATGCAAGAGCTTTAAAAAAAAAATGAATTTGCCTTTGGCTTGTTTTAATAGAATTGGGGGAATGTTTGTCTACCTCTATTTGAACTGGTCAGGCTGCACCCAGCATATTGCGTTCTTTTCTGGGAATTGCAATTTAAGAGGAACAATGATAAATTGGAGCATGTCAAGAGAGGGAACAGGACAGAGAACAAGGTTAAAAATATGTCATGTGACTAGCACTGAATGAAATGGTGGAAACTATTTTTTCCTGGAAAAGAAAGGGCAGGGTAACTGTTTTTCAAATGCTTCAAGGGCTGGCGTTCAGAAGTAGAAACAGTTTTATCTAATTAGAGAGTAAAATTAAAAATATGAGAGAAAGAAACATTTTACCTCAATGTAAGGCAAAACTGTCAAAAGATTATAGTTGCTGGAAATTGGCATTTATTCATTTAATGACTTACTGAACACCTACTATGTGTTCTAGGCTTTGGAGAAACAGTGAAAAGCAGTGGACAGACCTCATGGGACTTTCATTCTAATGCAGAGTTGTGTCAGACAATACCATATCTCTCTAAATCTGGAGAATGAGGCAACCATAATTTGAGGGTTTGGCGGCAGGAAATCAGGCAGTAAACATGACTGGACTTGACAATGATTGGAATTCCGCCAATGCCGAAACACTGTTTTAGTCCTCTTGATGTTATGCTTGGTGCAGTTTGATGGCTCTTCTGGCCACTAGTAGGGATGTACAGTTCTTCCTTTGTGGCTTAGCCATACATTTCTATCAGTAATACAGTGGTGCTTCAGCTGAGTTTTGTAGATACATGGTAGCGAGATAAGACACAGAGATTTCTTTCAGATGTCATCTACAGGGAAGGAGAACAATTTCCTTATGTCTCATATTCACCCCAGAAATCTAGTTCTCATTTCTATTCGTTTATTCTTTTTCAAACTTGCTATTTTTACTTGGAGAATGGGAATTCTCCATTTAAAACCAGTTTCATTCTTCAATCTTTTTAAAAGAGGGTGGAATCAGGGTGACCTAAGATCATAGAATCATTGTCTATTAAAGTGGGAGGAGATGTTGTTATCATTTATAAAGAATGAAGTAGAACTTCTAAATACTGAAATTTAACTGATGCATAAAATAGTAACTCAGACTCAGTCAAGGTGAGAATGTAAGCTAGAAGATAATTGTGAAGAAATTATTCAAAATGGCACAGAGAGAATGTATGATAGAAAATATAAAGGGAAAATTCAAAACTGTGGAGTAGACAGAAAGGTCTAACTTTTATTAATTTCAAAAGAGGATAAAGTGTTTAATTAGCCAGTGCTTAAAAGTGGGTCCACATCAGAATCTAGTTTATATTTGGGTATTTTGATCATATAATAATAAGGGTTACATAACAATGACCATAGTATTCTTGATTAGAACAGAGATTGAGGGCCTCCCTGGTGGTGCAAAGGGTTGAGACACAACACTATAATGCTATCCACAGCCACTGCAACATGAGTTTGATCCCCGGCCATGGAGTTGACCCACATGGCACAGCAGATCTCTCCTGCCTCGCCTGCTGCTCCCCTCAGCAGTGTATTTCAGTCGATCCACCTGTTCTGCTCCCCACTCTGTCTCTAGTGAATCCTCTCACCCCCCGCATTTCTGGCCTGCACCCTAGCTCTTGTATGCATGAAATGAATAAATCTTAAAAAAAAAAAAAAAAAAAAACAGAGATTGAATGACTTGGGTATCATTCAGTGGGGTTATCCTTAAGGTACCCAGTGTCCTCTGAAGGAGAGAGAAACACCTATTGTTGTGTCTTCATAGCATCGACATGTTTGGTCACATCTTTTCCTACCTTGTCACTTCTATTTATATACTTTTAATAAGTTTAAATCCTTGTGGAGTACAGGGTTACATGAATCCTGTGTCCAACAGCCTTAGTAGGAAGGTTGCTTTGGAACTTGGCGTGAGCCATGTCACTGTTTCCATAGGCACAAGTTCTCTCCAGATGACTCTGTTTTGTTCATTTTGCCTCCAGGAGTCACCGTGTTGTTCTTTACTTTGTACTCAAGCACATCTCTTGCCTAGATAGAATTCAAGCATAAGCACCTAAGCGTTTATAAAGCATAAACATGTCAACCATAAACATAAACACCTCAATGTTATAAGCATGAAAACCTCAAGCATAAATCTCAAGCATAAACACCTTAATTTTAATAAGAGCTGTGGATTCTCTCTGGTTCCAGAAACCCTATTATTAGCAAAAAGGTCTTGGGCCACAGATTTCCAGACATATTTGCCTCTTTAGAAGTCCTCTTCCTAGCAGGATGCTACAGGTTCCAAAATGCTGGGGAGAATAGTTACATCCTTGGCTTAGGAAAACAGGACATTAAAAAAAAAAAAAGACTCTTAACCTCAAGAGAATAAAATTAAGATGACAAAATTCATCCTAAAAGGAACTCAGGATCATAATTTCCTAATACATTTTGCAAACTTGTGGAATACTTGTAAATGTTTCATATTAACCATGTTTCTGTTATCTACTATTCTCCTGCAGTAATTAATAGTAACAGCCTTAAGATAAAAATAAGTGCCTCAGTCTTAGTATTCAGAACAAAGGTTAAAAAAAACAAGTGTCCCCTAAGGAATTTATAAGTATGAATTTGCTCTCATGCCAATTTATGGTTTTAAAAAAAATCCTTAGCCTAGAAAGTAGTTTAAAGAAGTCCTAAGCTGTCAGTGTCCTTGGGCTCCTGCCAAAAGGCAAAAATAAATGATCTCTGGAAGAACACGTTTTCAGCCTAGGTCTCAAATCCTGGATGAATTTCAAATGAACATAAGCTCATGACTAAAAATAAATGCAAAATTTCATGAGGAAACAATGCATCATTAGTAAGAGTGGCAGAAATAACCAACAACAGAGTCAGATTCACAAAGTTTTCAGACCTTGAATTTATCAAAATTTAGTAAATATTATTTACATATTTAATATATATTTACATATTATTTTATATATTTACATATATATTAAATACTTATAAATACATAAATAGGAATTGAAACAGCTAGTGAAAAATAAGAGGCTATCAAAAATGACCAGTCAGATATTATAAATAATCAAGTAAGACTGCCAAAAAAATTACAGATTTAATATTTGAAATTTGATTTGAGGCAAAAAGGTAAACATGGGTGAATCAAAACAAATACTGACTTTTTAGAACAAAATAAGTAATTTTTGATATTAAAAATAGAGAAAACTAAAATAAAGGACAAGAAATAGAATTTAAAGGGAAGGGAAATGATTATTATTAAAACATAAGGGAATGGGCCTCTCTGGTGGCGCAGGTGGTTGAGCGCCGCACTGTGAGGTTGTGCGCAGCCTCTTCAGTGCCGGCTCGATCCCTGCCGGCCTCAGAGCAACCCACATGGTGCAGCAGACCTCTCCTGTCTTGCCCACTGCTTCCCTCAACCATGTATTTCATCAGTCTGCCTGTTCTGTTCCCCGCTCTGTCTCTGGTGAATCCTTTCATCCTCCCACGCATCTGGCCTGTACCCCAATTCTTGTACAAAAATAAATAAATCTTTATTTTTTTTTAAAGATTTATTTATTTATTTATTTATTTAATTTATACAAGCAGTGGGTACAGTCAGAAGCGCAGGAGGGTGAGAGAATTCACCAGAGCCAGGGCGGGGAGCAGAGCAGGCAGAAGGACCGAAGCACACTGCTGAGGGGAGCAGCGGGCGGCAGGAGAGGTCTGCGCGCCATGTGGGACCCTCCTCTGGTGGCCAGGGAGCAGCCGGGGATCGAACAGGCGCTGCAGAGGCTGCGGGCAGCTTCACAACCCAGCGCTCAACTGCTGCGCCACTGGGGAGGCCCAAAATAAATAAATCTTTAAAAAAAAAAAAATTAGTGATTCTTTCTTCTGCCTACTCATGCCTGCTGTTGAGCCCCTACAGAGTAAATTCTTCATTTGATTTATTTTACCTTTCATCTCTACATGGTTCATTTTTTTTTTTTTCTTTTTTTGCATAGAAGAACTGGTATGTAGGCCAGAGGTACTGGGGTGGGGGAGGGAGGGTGAGAGGATTCACCAGAGACAGAACATGAAGATTTTTACTGAAATATACTGCTAAGGGGAACAGCCGGGTAACAGAAGAGGTCTGCTGCGTCATATGTGGGTTAGCTCCCTGGCTGGGGATCGACAGAGGTCGTAGCAGTGATAGCACTGAGACTTAACCCTAGGCCACCAGGGAGACCCTACTTCCTTTAGTTTTTATGGACTATATTTTAGTTTGAGTAGAAAACAAGTTCTATACTACATTTTAACAATAAAGTGGATAAAAGAAAAAAGGAGAAAAGGAAAAAAGAAAAAAGAGGAAAGAGAAAAATATACTTGTCAGTTGTCAAAGTAATGACTGCTGACATACTTTGACAGTATTGGACTAGTACCTAGCAAAGATGTAATTATTTTC